TGGCAGCCTTCGGAAGGAACGTGAAGATGATAGAGTCAAAAGCTGACAATACCACAGCTCCAGGTGCCAGTCTGACCGATGAGAGGGACAGACAGACAGGTAGAGCTTGCACATGTCTGAGTTTCTGCATGGTGGTGGTGTGGGGGACCAGTCCCTAACTAATCATGCAAATGAGCAGCCTTGCAGGTGGCATCTGTGCTGCAGCCCAGGAATGGTGCTGAAGTCATGTCACCTTCCTATCCTCATCTCCCTTCCACCCTCCTCCTTGAGCTGGGCCTGGATTCCTGCAGCATCAGCAGCACATATTGGACACAATGACTTTAGTTGTTCTGGTCAAGCAAGGTAACGACAGAAATGCTTTCTGCCCACATGAAATGGATTGGAAATCAACTACTGTGCCACAGGGGCAGCTTAGCAAGTCAGAACTTGGCACAATAGATGAAGTCCCCACCCGCTGGGTTCTGCAAGCTGGGGGCCACCCAATAGACTACCAGGCCAGAGGATAGGGAAAGAGACCTCCGCAGAGACACAGCCAATGCCAGGTTGGGGGGTAAGGGGTGTCCAGTTAAACATTTTGGGAACCCAGGAAAATATGGACAAGGGGACTTGTCTAGCTGCACTGGGGTCACTAGCATACCAGCTTTATACTGCCTATTCCCTCGGAGTTCCCCCCAACATCCTCAGATGTTGAACAAGCCGAACCCCTGTGTGACTCTGAATATTGCGATGTCAGCGGATACCCTGCCTGGGAGTATGGCCTTAAGCTCCCAGCTGAAGGGGGTCAGGCAGCAAGAATGGACAATACCAGCCTCCACTGGTCATGCCTGCCTGGCCAGACCAACTTCTTACCTACCATTTTGGGCTCTAGCAGGGGACAAAGGCAAGTAAAAGAAATTTGGGTAGGGGGTTAGAAGTAGAAGAGGATGAACTTCCTCATAGGACTAACTATTAAGAGTGGGATGAAGGACCTGGAGAGGGAGGAGGGTGGGCAACAGCATCAAAGCCACCCAAGATCCAGAATGCTGCTCTCTCCTCCAAATCCTTGAGCGACACAAGACACATTTTTTAAAACCCTTTGCAGAAGCTGTCAAATTGACTTTTTTGAGCACAGGTTTTGGGGTTGGGCTGCCTGAGATTTAAATCCCAACTATGCCAATATGGAAACCTCACCTGTTAACTAGGAAATGCTCCAACCACACGAAGATGAGGCAGATGTGGTCTTGTCTAGCACGGGTGCTATAGATTTGGGCACATGGTGAGAACTCTGTTCCTGCTAGGACTTTCAGATCTATTGCAAAAGCTTCCCGAAGCAACTCCTACATACAGATATGAGGTGGTATGTGAATGGAAGAGAACATGAAAAAGCCACAGCACCATGTAGCATCAAAGGTACCAGAAAATAAGCATCTTTCAGAGCCACACTCTCAGGCTTGAGCCCTTTCACATTGTCCCACACAAATTCTGTCTACCCCCATTCTGTGCTTCTTATGCTGGTCTAGGGGAGGGGTCAGCAAAGTTTTTGGTTTTTTTTGCAAAGAGCCATATAATAAATATCGTTGGCTTTATGGTCTACATGGCTTCACTCATGACTACTTGACTCCATCCCTGTAGCACAAAAGCAGTCACAGACAAAATGTACATCAATGGACATGGCTGTGTGCCAATAAAACTTTATTTACAAAAGCAAGTGGTGGGCCAGATTTGGCCCCAGGGATGTAGTGCCCCAGCCTTTGGTTTGAAGCTCACACAGCCAGCAATAGCCAAACTTGGACTAAATGAGAAAGAACCACATGCTCTTTCCATGGCCTCCCCAGACCTTCATGCTTCCACTACTGCTAATTGGGTCAAAGATTTATTTGTCTCACATATGCCCAATTTCACCCTGCCTCCCAGAAACCTATTTCTGCCCCACTGGACTCTAGGTGTCTTTTAGTGCTCAACCCCCTCCCATCCCCACCTCTTTAAACATCCTTACTGCTCCATTCCTGGAAATCAACATATTCTCCTAAGACAAGAGATACTTACAAATATAAAAAATTTAACCCCAGTCATTTACCAGGGACCATGGACTTTAGAGGTTTAAGGCATAGGCCTGAGCATCAGACCAAGGCTCTCCTACCCAAATGGTGTGAATGTCGGCATGCAGGCAATCCCTGTGTATTTCCTTTGCCTATGGAAATTGGTTAGGGTTTTAAAAATTTACAGGAGCCTGGTGTGGTGGCTCACTCCTGTAATCCCGGCATTTGGGGAGCCTGAGAAGAAGGATCACTTGAACTCAGGAGTTCATGACGAGCCTGGGCTATATTACAAGACTTCATCTCTATAAAAAAAAAATAAAAATTAGCTGAGAATGATGGTACATGACTGTAGTCCCAGCTACTTGGGAGACTGAGGTGGGAGGATCACTTGAGCCTAGGAGGTCAAGGCTGCAGTGAGCTAATATCATGCCACTATAGCCTGGCCCACCATTTGCTTTTGCAAGTAAAGTTTTATTGACACACAGCCATGCCCATTCATGTACATTTTATCTGTGGCTGCTTTTGTTCTATAATGGTAATGTCAAGTAGTCATAAGTGAAAACATGTGAACTATAAAGCCAACAATATTTATTATCTGGCTCTTTGCAGAAGAAACAAAACCTCTGTTAACCCCTGCCCTAGACCAGCATAGGTAGCAGGAAGCTGAGGTGGGAGGACCACTTGAGTCTAGGAGGTTGAGGCTGCAGTGAGCTATGATCACGCCACTGCACTGTAGACTGGGCAACAAAGCAAGACCCTGTCTCAAAAAATCAAAAACATAAAAATTACAGGAGCTAGTTTATGTAAAACACATAGGAAGAGTTGTTCAGAAAATTACATCATTGAAAAGTCGCATTGCGTGTAATTCTGTTTTCCTAAATATGCTTTACGTTCGCACCAGTGAGACCAACAACTCCAGGAGCATGAGCCATAACTTACTCTCCAGTCCTGTGCTTCCTGGTACTGTGCACAGTACATAGTAGGTACTCAGTGAGGACATGCGATCTGTAGCTACCTCTTACTTGGGAACATATGTGATTAACCCCCTGGAGTCTGCGAATCATTTTCACATACATTTAGATCTCATTTGTGGTACTCACTGGACTGTAAATGGCTGGCTGGAGACGTGTCAGTGTTGGTCTCAATCTCTTTCTCGTCCTAATTGAGTGAGCTCTTTTGACTTAAGGTTAATGATTCCTCTTTGCGTTTCTTCAAGGAGAGTGTTCTCCTTGGAGACTGCTGGTCATTATTATTCCATGTTGCATTGCTCTCTTGACATAAAGGATGTTTTTTAAAAAAAAAAAAAAGAGACGGGGGATTTCATGGCCTGATTTAGGCCTGGGTGCTTCCAAAAGAAAGTGAATGAAGCCACAGGGGAGGCGCTTTAGAAATCCGATGTGCCTTCCCACAGGAGCCTCAGAGAAGTAGAAAGGCAAGGCGAGGGAACCTCAGTCCAGGAAAGCTTCAGAGCCCTCCTACCTAAGCCATTCCAGATAAAATATTCCACAGATGCACAGAGTGGGAGACTGTCAACCTTCTGGACAAACCAAAATCAAGTTAGGAGTGCAGTGGGCAGTGGAGGGTCTATGTTCAATGCTTCCATCTTCTACTACCAAAGGCAGCTATGCCCCTTCCTGCAAGCAGAGATGACTTGACTGACACATAGAAGGATGTTTTCACATATTAACTTAATTAATCTTTGCAATAACCTTATGGAGTGCCTAGTATTTCCATTTTACAAATGAAGGAATTGAGGCACAGAGAGGTTAAGTAACTTGCCTGTGATCACACAGTTTTTAACAAGTGAAACTGGGATTCCAACCCAGGCAGCCAGCTCCAGAGCCCTCACTCACCCACTCCGCGAGCTGCCTATCTGTGCAAATACATCCGGTTTTAGAATCCAGCTCAAGCATGTCTTCTCCACCAAGCTGTGCTCCTCTGAGCTCACAGAATCTCAGGCCTGGATGGACCTACCAGCCCTGAGTCCAGCTCTCTTGTTTTGCAGCAGGGAACGGATACCCCAGGAGGAGGGGTGCAATTTCCAAGGTCATGCAACTACCCAGGGAAAGCATCAACACTGACTCAGGCCCCCAGACTCCTAATACAGTGCTCTTCTCCCCACCTTCCTGAGATTCACAGCCGAAATGCATAATTAACCCTGTAACACCCAGGAAAACACTGGAGGAGCACGTGGTTGGTTTCCCAGTGGGAATGAACTCCAAAGAAGCAGAGAAACAGGCATCCTATTTCTTCTGTGACTCCAACCCAAACATAAACAAGTCTCAAGCACCACTTGTGAGTTTGAGCACAGTGACCATTTGCACCAAGCCATCCATCCTCACCTCTTTTTTTTTTTATGTGATCACATGTGCATCCTAGCAAGATGGCTAGCACGGGTTAAGGCTGCAGCCCATACCCATCTTTCCCTTCCGTATAAAACAGGAATCATTTGGAAGGCAAATTCATGAGCAGAGATTGATGAGGAATCCCCACAACCAAATCATAGGCTGAGAGAGGCTGCTCAGAACAGACACTTAGAAGCTCAGAAGTTACTCCAGCAGGGGCTGGTGGGGCATTGATTAAACATAACTCTTAGAAGCAAAGAGAGGCAAGCTGACAAAGGCAACCAGGCTAGGACTGGCACCTGCCCTCAAAAGATGGCCACAGCATGGCATCATCAGATCTATCCTGACACACCGTCCTTCATCCCCCAGCTAGCCACAGAGAAAATCGATGAGGAAGGGTAAACAAGGCGCCTCACTCACTGCAAAAGCCGTGAGTCGTCTCATGGCAAGTCCTAAAACTTTATCTTTTACGGCGATAAACGCCAGGCAAACATGTCTCTAGTTAGTTAAGTCTTACATCCCAAATTACATCAAGAAAGAGATAACAGACAGACACACACAGACTTCTGTTTCGGGGACCCGGGATAACGCTCCGCTTCCCATTCTCTGGGCCCATGATGCGCGACACAATTCCTACCTGCTTGCATAAGTTGGCACTGCTGACCAAAGACGTGGGAGAAGGTGACGGGGCCTGTGGCAGAGCTGGATGTCGCCAGCGTGGACTCCATGGCTCTTTTGGGATCTTTGGTGTTGGTCATGTGGCAGCGTCCGGACCCTCGGAGTGGCAGAGCAAAGGATGCTGTCGCTGGCCCAGGAACTGCAGATCTGAGGCTACTTGTCACTTCCAAGAAAATGTCCCCGCCCCCAAAGTTTATAGGGCTTCTTTTCCTCACCACCCTTTCCTTGCAGATTTTCTCAAACACCAGTCAAGTAAAAAAATGAAACCCTATAGGGCTTGGCAAATCTTGCACAGCTGCAGTTCAATGCAAAAGAAAAATCTAAGTTTCCTCCTAACCAGGAGTCGTAGCCTCTTAGCCCAGAAGCGTGGCTGGAACTTGCCGCCCTCCCCCACACCCCGGGCTACCTCTCCAGGGGTCACCTGGAATGGGCAGAATCCCTGGGAGAGGCTCAGCCCCGGCCGCGTTCCAGCACCAGCTGCCGGCAAAGCGCTGCCCAGGCCCCGCGGCGTCTCCGTCCAGGGAGGCGGGCAGGGCGCGAGGCTGCCCCAGGCTCCCCGGGGAGCTGGCCTTGCGGGCGCCGCCCCGCTGTCCGCAGCGCCGGCTCTGGGCTCCCGCGTCCCCGAACGAGCGCCTAGGTCCCAGGTCCGCGCCGGGCGCCCAAAGGGAGAGCGCGGGAGGCGCGCGGCGCGGGCGCAGAGCAGCTCCGGACCCGCCGGCGTCCCCGGCTTATTCTCCGCTCCCGACGCCTCGGCCTTGCTGCTCCCCACGCCTCGCGGGGCAGCGGAGAGGGACTGAGACCTGCCGCCGCGGCCCCTGGCCCGCGCCGCCACCCCGGTACCGTGATGCAGAGGGGGCCGTTCCAGGGAGATATTCTGGATGCGGAGGGGAAGTGCCAACTCAGCCCAGCAGGCTCCCGGGCTGCTGTAACCTCTTCCTGCCCACAGCCAAGGAAGGGCCAGACCCGGGAGACCCGACTGCCTGCGAGCAAATCCAGACACCAAGAAGAGAAGAGGAGAAAATGCCACACATCCCCTAGGGCGCTCCGGTGATTCAAAGATCTGGGTGCTTCATCTTAGCCGACCCAGCCCTGCTGTGTATGAAGGATCTGCCTAGTCCCCTGCTCCAAACCAAAAGGGGCCGCTTCTCTGTAAAAGGAGGAGGGGGGAGTACTTTTTGCATGATTCCAACAGCTATTTCTGAGAGTGCTGGCTTTATTTTGCTATTCCACCTGCTAATCATTAAGATGCTAACTCCAGAGACGCTGCATCATCTTGGACCAGCATTTGGGGTACTTTCTTCCAGGATTCTGCTGCGACATTGGCAGGGCACTGACAGTCACCTTGTTAGGCAGCAATACTTGTGCAGAGAGAGAGGGGCACAGTCAGCACAGCTGCAGCCGTCAAAGCACTCGTGATTTTCCCCTGGAGAACTTTGATTTTAAAAAGCCATACGCCTCTTCTGTATTTAAGCAACGGAAGATAAGTTCACAGCTGATCTAAGGGCCAGAAGGACTCTCAAACAGAGCTTTTTCCATTAGCGCCCTTGGCCAGCAAAGATGTACAGCTCAGTGATGTCTTGAGGGTTACCTGGGATGGGTAAGACAAAGCAGAGGAGGCTTGAAGTATTCCAAGAGTTCAAATGAGGTCTGACTTTGTATTAATGCCTCCAGATAGTTTAAGTGATTGAGCATCCCTTTTCTTGTCATGCAAGATGCTCTTCTCCAAGTCGTGAAATTGTAGGACATCAGGGACCATTTCTCTCAGGCAAATGGGGTCTAAGGTGGGGTGGCAAAAAAAAAAAAAAAAAAAACACAGTACAGTGATGATCCATCAAGCATTAGGGTCATCAATCAGCATATTGCCCAAATCAGACACTTTGAGAGTGAGTGGAGGTGCCGTTGATGATTACACTGGGATGCATGGCATATACCAGGAGGGATGAAGCTGCACAAAAATTTCCTGGCTACGCACCCAGGAGTAGAATTGTTCAAGGATAAATGCAAATTTTATTACAGTAAATGCTTCCAAGTACTACTCCAGAATGGCTGTGCTGATTTACACTCCCACTAGAACTGCACATGGCACTTATACTCCCACTTTCCCACACTTTTGCCAATAACTGTTGTTGGTAGAAATTATGAAGCTAGGAAATTAGCTTCATACTAGGTACAGGTTATTATAATTCATTGTTTTGGTTTGCCTTTCCTTAATTACTAAGTTGAGTATGTCTTGAAAAGCTTACCAGCCATGGAGGCTTCCTCCTGGGGAAATTTCCTGTTCATAGGCTTTGCCTATTTTTCCAATCATTTTACTATTTTTATGGCATTCTTGTTGATTCATTAGAGTTTATTGGTTTTGCTAGATATTAACCTCTCATCCACTTAAATTTTAGGAGTATCTTCTCCCACTTGGTCATCCAAACTGACAATTGCCCATGGAAAGATGTCCATGGTGTCTTCCCATGATTTGAAATACTTAATTTTAGGGTAGTTAAGTCAGTTGTTCTTTTGACTTACAGTCTGATTTGGGAGTCTTGCTTAAAACATCCTTCCCTCTTACTAGGTTGCAAAGTTAGGCTCTTTGATAGTTTTACCTTTCATACTTAGTTCTATCTGAAGCTTACTTTCATACCTGGTATTCAGTAAGGTTCACCTTTCTTTCCCCTTAAAATTGTGAAACAGTTTTCCTAAAACGATCTTTTCCTTATGCAATGGACCATTTTTTCCTTATGTTTATGTCCCCCCAAAACTGATATGTAGAAATCCTAACCCTCAATATGATACAATTAGGAGGTAAAGCCTTTGTAAGGGAGCGATTAGCTCATGAAATTGGAGCCATCGTGAATGGGATTGCTGCCCTTACTATAGGAATCCCAGGGAACTCTCTAGTTCTTTCCACCAAGTGAGGACATAGAGAGAAGCTGGCAGCCTGCAATTTGCAAGTGGACCCTCACCAGAACCAGACCATGCTGGCACCCTGATCTCAGACTTCCAGCCTCTAGAACTGTGAGAAATACATTTCTGTTGTTTATAAGTCACCCAGTCAATGGCATTCCATCATAGCAGCTCCAACTGACAGAGGCTCCATGCCTACCTTTTTCTACTGTGGCACCACGATTATTGCCGAGCATGTTCCCATATACATGAATGCAATTTTGAGCTCTCTATGTTATTCTACTGATTCCTCAAACTATGCTATCAATGTTCAAATTTTAAAGTTACTGGCCAGCATTTTAAGAAGTTCGGATTTTGAATTTTTCAAGACAAGTCAGATTTGATAGTGTTGAGGCCACATGTCTCATGCTACAATAAATTGGATCAGCAATTGCCCCCTTTATATGGAATGCATGCCATCCTGTTACACCAAGCATGGTCTGCATGCATTTGCAATACAAGCCTACTCCTCACAGAGATGTGTTCAGGTATTGAAACATCTCTGGAGATAGAGGTAAAAAGAAAGTCTCACAGGAGAAGCCATTAACTGAGGTATAGGACTCATGTTACATCTGCGTTCATACAGATCATTTACTTAATACCTGTTTGATTACTAACCCAATGCTAACCACAGGTAGACGGGATAGTGGTGTGAATGGAGAGTAGTAGAGGGAAGGAATGAAGCGATGGTGGGAGAAGCAACACAAAATGCTTCCATATATATATAATAAACACAAAGAATGATTAACCACACAGGTGGAAAGATACAAAACCGCATTGTGAATTATGGACATGAAAGGTCTTGTCATTCTAATACAGGTGACAGCTGGAGTGGAGCCTTCAAGGAGAGCTTTTAGAGGGAGGGAGTGTTAAACTTGGGTCTAAGAAGAGAAGTAGGATTTGCTTCAGTAGAAGGAAGAGGCTTGGTTCAGGGAGGGAATTTGGGCAAGTCATTAGAACAAGACTAGCATAAATATCCTGTTATATTGAAGACTTTTTAAAGTCTGATTAGGGCTTTTTAGTCAAGAAATCATATAAATTTGCTCTGGTTCAAATCAATCATTATCCCCTTGCTTTTAAGATCTCCTTGGTACATTTTCAGTCCTATAGGCTTTCAACTGACTTGGCCCAAAGGCCTCCCTTGACTGTGCTCACCCTCAGTCTCACAGGAGTAAAGAGCTGCTTCCACACATCAACTCAGGCTCAATACATCAGCTGTTATCACCCACAGTTCCCAGAAGGTGCAGAGTACCCTAGCCAGCTGTTACAGAGACAAAATGAAGAGCAATTTAGGAAAACATGACACCAAGCTCAGAACAACTTGCTGTATGAAACTTTATTTCTCATAATAAATTATCAGTAAGTGGCCGGGCACGGTGGCTCACGCCTGTAATCCCAGCACTTTGGGAAGCCAAGGCGGGTGGACACGAGGTCAAGAGATCGAGACCATCCTGGTCAACATGGTGAAACCCCGTCTCTACTAAAAATACAAAAAATTAGCTGGGCATGGTGGCGCGTGCCTGTAATCCCAGCTACTCGGGAGGCTGAGGCAGAATTGCCTGAACCCAGGAGGCGGTGGTTGCGGTGAGCAGAGATCATGCCATTGCACTCCAGCCTGGGTAACAAGAGTGAACTCCGTCTCAAAAAAAAAAAAAAATTATCAGTAAGTGAAGGCTGCTATGCACCATGAGCTATAGGGCATCAGGAGTTCTGCAAACATTCTTATTTAATGACAGATACTAATGTGCCCTCTTCCCAGATGAGAAAACCTGGGCCTAGAGAAATTCATGTCCTTTAGCCAAGATTACACAACAGAAAGTCATATAGCCATTCATTCATAGGAACCTACAGGATGAATGGGCTTACAGGTCGGTGTTCTGCTTTGAAATGAGCTATTATCTATGTCCTTGCCAAATTGTTCCATTGACTCATATTCCAGAGTTTTCCAGATTGATCCACGGTTCCTAGCAAGTCATAACGCATGTCTTCATTTTTTTCTTTAACATTTAACAGCTTTATTGGGATATAATTCACATGCCACATGGTTCATCCTTGAAGTGCACAAGTCAGTGCTCTTTCGCGTATGTACAGACATCCATGATCATCGCCACAGTCAATGTTACAGCCCTTTCACCACCTCGGAAAGACACTTGGCTCTCACCACAACTCCACGACACCCTCTCAACCCTAAGCCACCACTAATCTACTTTCTGTGTCTATCAATCTCCATGTTCTAGATTTTCCTATGAATAGAATCATGTAATATGTGAACCGTTGTGTCTGGCTTCTTTCAGTTAGCACGATCTTTTCAGGGTTTATTCAACTTGTAATATAAACCAATATTTCATTTATTTTAGTGACTGAATAATATTTCACTGTATGGCTGTGCCACATTTTGTTTAACCCTTCATCTGTTGATAGACATTGGGTTCTTTCTACATTTTGGCTATTATGAATAATGCCACTATAACCATTTGTATATAATTTTTGGTGTGGGCATTTGTTTTTATGTATCTCGGGTATGTGCTGAGAAATAGAATTGCTGGGGCATACAGTAACTATGTTTAATCATTTGAGGAAATGCCTCAAAGGTGTTTTCCTGTGGCCTTATTATCTTACATTCCCACCAGCTATGTATGAGGGTTCTAATATCTTCGTATCCTAACCAACTCAATAATGTCCTGATGCAGAGCTAGGTACTAATATTCTAGTAATCTTAAAAACGGCAGATACTGAAATAGTCATTGGCGCAAAAGGAGCATTGTTAGATTTCTAAACAGACTTATTTATAAAGTTAACCCTTTCTTTGCCTAGAGAAATCACTGATCAATAGTTTCAGACCAGAAAGAGCTAACGTTGTCTTTTATTCAGTCTCAACAGAACCCATAGGAATGAACATAATGTTTCTCTGGAGGAATAACATCATCATTAATCATCATTATTATCCCTAGGTCTTACATTATTTCTATAAATTCATAAATACTGTCTAGCATTGAGTTTAAAATAACAAGGTATCTACTTTTCTTCCTTCCTTCCCGAATAATTCAATTCAATGCAAAACACTGGGCAAGAGAGGTAGATAGAAATCCTTGCCCAAGGAATGGGTGCGGGAGTCCAACGCCAAGCCAGAACCCAAGCAAGGTAAAGGGGCATTTTTTTGGCAAATGTGATAACCACTGCACTGCAGAAACTTATACCATCTGTGAAGTAAGGAGGATGACAGAAATCCCTTAGGATCAGAATCCAAGTGAGATGAGTAAGGCATTCACAGAAGAAGCAGCAGCAGCAATAAGAGACTGGTTATACAAGACGAGATTAAGCAAATAAGTAAACATATTGAGGATGATGGGAGCCAGTTCTCACTGTTAGGAACAAGGGAAAGCTAGAATAAAATCTGCGGTGCTGAATAGAAATTCTCAACATTGGTATAAGCTCTTGGTTTTTAATCTATATATAGTCACAAAAATAAATCTATATATAGTCACAAAAATAAATCACAGTAGCCAGCTTGAAGTAACTCCCACTAGCCAAATCAAGAATAATTTTTATATAAAAGTGATGATAAATTATAACTCATTGAATAGAAATCTATAGGTCCATATGGATGGATGGGTGATGGATGGATGAATGGATGGCTAGGTGGATGGATGGATGGATGGATGGATAGGTGGATAGATGGATGGATGGATGAATGGATGGATGAATACATAAATATATCCATAAATAAATACATAGAGAGGTAGAAGAAAAACTTCTTCTTTACAGTCAAATGCCAACCAATACATGCACAAAATGATGGATTTGAAAAATTGCCATTTAACAGCTTCTCATAGTTATATTTCAGACAGGAAATGTCAATGAATGCTAAATATAGTGGATGAAAGCTTGATGAGAAACAGTAAACTCACAACTTCAAACTCTGTTAATCACAAAAAGAAAAAGGAGTGACTTTACAGTGGGCAAACCTGGAAGACACTATCTTAATCAAAGTTAGGTACAAAGTTAACATCATTACTCATAGGATAAGTCACCTCATAGGATGCAATAAGA